TCAATAGTCTGGTAATTGAATGTGTCTGGTCAGTTTTATTCAAGCAACACGTTTTAAAAAATAGTGTGCTGAATTTCAATTACTGTTTTAGTCACATTGCCCCCAACTCAAACCACAACTCGTTGGTAAATAATCGATGAAATAGTTTGTCTGGACACATTCAAGTTCCTCTCATTATCACCTTAAAGCTGTGAAAATTTGGTGTTAATCCGACGACAATTAGTATACGTTATTTTTTGTTAAAGACCTTGTATTTTGAAAAACATAAACTCCTAGAAAACGTCCATGAAGTCACAGCAAAGATTTTCAAGCTTGTTTATCGGCACAATCAATTTGTTTTCCCATCAAGGTCTGTTTTACCATGTGTAGGGGCATCCAAATGTGTAAGGCTATTAGAAACCAAAAAAATAAAGGAATGGGATAGCTATAATTGGATAAATTCGACATATGAAAACACCAAGATCAATGATTTTTTTCAGTGGCTGTGTGACCTCGTGTCTGACACATTCATATGCAACATTGCTTTGTCTTGAGTTTATCTTTGAAACTTATAGGCACACAGATTAAACCTGTATTGTTGATTTTGGAAAACACTACTGAGGCTGCCTTGCTTCCCTTCAGAAAATATACATTTTAACCAACTTACATGACATTCTATGTTATGTTGACTTTATCATATGAAAGTTTATAGTGCATTTCATCAATTAATAAATAAATGTGAAAATTGTAATTTTCAACACAAATAATAGTCTCGCTACCTTAATACATTTCAATAATGCTAATCTCGTCATGAATATTCATGAGTATAACTGCCATCATACTGAAGAATCATGGCCAGTGGAATGAACGAACAGGCGAGTGAGACGACTGAGTTGTTCAAACAGCGTATGTAAGATACTGTTTGCTCAGGTTTTTTGACTGTTGGTATATCGGTTGGGTACGCATCTGGGCTCTTTGATACAATGGCGAAACTAGGTAGACCATGCCACGCCAAGGACATTGCTGAGGCTGCGGGTATGAAGGAAAGGTAATGTCACAAAATACATGCCCTTCAATCGGAGTCGTTTGTTCGGTATATACAAATTGGTATATACAAATTACAATAAAGATAATAAGGTATCAATAAGGTAGAACTTGACAATATGATAACAGTAATACATCCTAAACAGAACGATCATATCGTCAGTCGGGTCATGCCAAGGGTCACGCAACATGGCGTAAAGTTGAAACTACTAAATGCACACTCACCGGAACCAAAGCAGTCGTTTTGGCTTTCCCATTAAATTTATCGACACATTGAAAAATGAACACCACTCAGCGATCAACGTCGTGGCATATGGTTCACAAGCGTGCCATCCAGTTAAAACAAAATTAGCTTGAAAAGGCAGTGAGTTCGAGCCTCTGTCATGAATTTGTTTACGCGTATCTGTTAGCTGATTATTAGCGAATTGCTGTGTTATGTCTGTCATCGTTTAGGCCTATTTGAGGTTTTGGACGGAACTTGGCTCAGTGATTTGGAACTAATTACGAGATAACCGTCGCTATTCTGACTACTCATTCTGACAGTTGGTATTCGTAGTTATTAATGTAGTGAACGATTAATCAAAGATATGACGTATTCAGTACTTAGTGTGATTGGCTTTATGATTGAAGGTTACGCCCTAGAGTCTTTTTACTGTTTTGTAATTGGTTAGAGTTTTGAAAATGAATAAAGAGAGTTTTGAGTTGGTCTTGGGGAGTACAGCAGAACAGACGCAGTCGAGAGTCCAGTCCTGGGGCGAGCCTTGACGCAGTCTAAAGAGTCTTGGTTCAGCCTTGCAATAGTCTTGGGGATTTTTTCCCCAGGGCGCTGTGTCTTACAGAGTGCTCGACTGATTGACTAAGGCGAGAGTTGAAACGTATTTCGTTGTGTGTGTCTTATTTGACTGTAAAGCTTAAGTGACTTTCCCAATCCCGCACCTCAAGGGGGCGAGATATAGAGACGAGACGAGATTCCACCCTGGCACGTGTGGAGAACCCCAGAGAGAAGAATTTTCCCCGTGATAGCTCCCTCAGAGCTACCGTAAAAAGCGTAAATCAAATCAAATAAACTGAAACATATTAACTCAATAAAAAGTAAACAAAGAACGTCACGAAATAAAAACAAACCTCAAGAAACTCTACCACGCAAAACTAAATGAATAATTAATAAAATAACTTGTTAATTAAGACCGTCGCACAATTTGTTCAACAGTTACCAGATCGTGACAAGAGAGAAACAGAAGACCAAAGTCAAGGTCATTTTTGCTAGATATTAAAGTGTCACGATGACGTGCCATATTTTACAAAAATAATTCAGGTAACGAATGTAGTGGTAGTTATACTGTCCGTGCAATTGTTGATTGAGGTTTTTTTTTAAACAAGTTTATCAATTAAATCAAATATCCAATGATACCGTGTTATTTACTTCATACTTGCAATGGTGGAGATTGATTAAAAGAGAATTCTTTACACCTAAATAAGTCTCAAATATTTGTTGAGACATTTATTCTCTCAATTGAACAACTTGTTATGGTGGAAATTAATTAAACAACAGGTATTTACTGACAAATACATGGCCAATATTCGGAGAGACATTAATTCTCTCAATTTATCAACTTGCAGGCTCTTATCCAGCACTTTTGAATAGAGGATTCGAAATCAATGATACATTTCAAATGTGCAAATTCTTTATTTAACAAAAAATTCAGAGCGCTCTTACTGATTCTTTTATGTTTAATTCAATTGGCTTAATTTGTGTTACATTGTTAAGTTATTACACGTAACATCTGTGAATTGTTTTACCATTTTTAACTGTCTGGGCCATCCCCAACCACAGTCACACACTCCCTACATCTACCAGTGCAAAAGAATAAGTTATGCCATAAATCACAACACACTTTAAAGATCCATCCTCCTTGGATGCAACTTTGCCAAAGTATCGACAGCACGATCAATATCGATTCCTTTATCATTATGAATGTAGAGTAAAGCTAGAGATGTCAATCCATCTTGCCACATGCAGGAACGATTATATGTCTTCAACCTTCACAATGCGGAGAGCTCACAGGTTGTCACTGGAAGGAAGCAGCTATTTGTAGTAAAACAAATATGTTGGGAAAGTATGACTCATCGCATACTTTCAGTGCTGAAGCAACACTCTGAATTTGTGCTGCAAGACTTAGTGTCTCTTCCACATATACAACTTGTGATCGAAAAAATCTGATGATGGCTAATGTCCGGCATATGTTTCAAACCGTGGCTGTATGCTATTATCTGATAATACAGACGGTACAAATCCAATAAGTTGACTAGGTTTGGCTGATAAACATGGAAACAAATAGTGCCATCATTAACTTGAAGAATTCAAAACTAATGGACCAAACTAGGAAAGTACTATGACAGATGAAGTGATTGGCCATATGATATTCTGAATAACCTTAAATCATACAAATGGTCTAAGACCAAATTGCTTAGTGTACATGTAAACTGTTCATTCAGTTCACTGCATAGGTGGTCAAGAAAATAGCTAAATTCAGCCTGCAATATTCTTCAGGAGAACTTGCGCCGCGTTGTGTCTGGCGCCTTACCACACATGGGTTATTATGTGTGACACCAATTTTGTCAGTAATACGAAAGTGCAATACTCGTTTTCATGGCCACCAAATCTTTCAGAGATAGACTACCGTTACATAATTGTTTGTAAATGATGTATAAATATGCTTACCCTACTTAATATTTGACATCAGCTGCTTGAACGCGATCCACATTACACCATCGCCGAATAACACTTTGGCAATTTATAACATATTATCATACTTTATTTCAGACTCAAAGGTCCATAGAGAAATTATTTTATTACATATAAAATTACATATTTTAATTGAATCCTTATTAACCTATTAAATTATTTTATTACATATACAATTACATATTTTAATTGAATCCTTATTAACCTCTCAATTCAGAACCAGCAAATCAAAACCGGCCTAACGTCACTAAAATTCACATAAATGTGCAATAATGGCCGTGACTGATAGTTACCTTTCAAGTGATTTAAACGGTGATAATTATTCTAAGTGTTGCAACTTACCAGCAGACATTGCACACGAAGGTATCATTATTGAGCTACAATTATTTCAGGGACGTCTTGGCATTACGATTAGGGTCGGGTCAGGTATGGTCAACGCAAAGTGTTAACTAACTGGTGATGGCATACATATATTTTACATAAGCAGGGAACACCAACTTGGCAGTATTGTACTGTTGAAAATTGTGCCTGAATAATTGAAATATGTAGTATATCTTTATATATATACTCTATATATCAAATTCACATATAAGCAGTCCGACACTCCGACTGACCTGTACGTGATGATTACTTTATTTCGTAATAGCACGTCCATAATTTTATTTCCAGTAAGAACATATCACTTATTAGAGTTTAAACACATCGGTCCGTGTATGTGGTTTATGAGCATATATGAGCAGTTGTAGACACCTGGTTTAGTACGTTTGAATGTGAAAACAAGTTTAAATGGTGATTTTATTCTTTTATAAGGTATGTCAGGGAATGGCTTGGTGCCATGGTAACTGGAAGAATAGTGGAATTTGATACTTCTGACGAGACATATGTTCTCCCTTCACATAGAATAGAAGTGCTGTGCCGGCAACGTGGGGATGGATCTGAAGCAGTCGTATCAGAGGCAGTTCCTGCAATATGTGAAGTCTACTCAGATATTTTAAAGTGCATGGAAATAGATGGTCCGAAAGGTATTTTGGATATTATAATTTACATCACCTCTTTCATGTACTTTTTAGACATGCCATGTATGTATTCTCCTTCATGCACTTGGTAGCATGCCATGTGTGTATTCTCCTTAGTACTTGGTAGGTATGTCGTGTATGTAGTCTCCTTCATGTACTTGGTAGACATGTCATGTATGTAGTCTCCTTCATGTACTTGGTAGACATGTCATGTAGTAGTATCCTTCATTACTTGGTAGCATGTCATGTATGTAATCTCCTTCAGTACTTGGTAGGCATGTCATGTTTGTAGTCTCCTTCATGTACTTGGTATGCATGTCATGTATGTAGTCTCCTTCATGTACTTGGTAGGCATGTCATGTATGTATTCTCCTTATGTACTTGGTAGGCATGTCATGTATGTAGTCTCCTTCATGTACTTGGTAAGTATGTCATGTATGTAGTCTCTTCATGTACTTGGTATGCATGTCATGTATGTAGTCTCTTTCATGTACTTGGTATGCATGCCATGTATGTAGTCTCTTTCATGTACTTGGTATGCATGCCATGTATGTAGTCTCCTTTATGTACTTGGTATGCATGTCATGTATGTAGTCTCTTTCATGTACTTGATGTGCATGTCATGTATGTAGTCTCTTTCATGTACTTGGTATGCATGCCATGTATGTAGTCTACTTCATGTACTTGGTAGGCATGTCATGTATGTATTCTCCTTTATGTACTTGGTAGGCATGTCATATATGTAGTCTCCTTCATGTACGTGGTAGGT